AAGTGATGTTTGCCTCCAACTTGAGTCATTAATTAACAGAAAGATTCACTCCAGATTCTGGTCAGGGGTGATCAGGGCCTGGAAAACAGTGAAACCTACAGAGTGGGCCCAACCAATCACGAACGTCGGAAGTCCTGAATCAAGCTCTGTTTGACAACCCCCTCATTCTCAATCATGTAGGTAACAGTTTCAAAGCGAATAAGTCCCCTAGGACGTTTGGGGATAGTTGGTTTCGGGCGAGAATTATGAGGATTCGCGATCTTTGGGACCCCCTATTAGGAGTCTGGCTGTCTCCGCCTGCCATAAAGCACTATCTGAAAAAGTTGCACAACGTGAAAAACAAGAGGAATTGCCTCATTTCTGCAATTCCCCGGGCTTGGAAGAACCTGTTGACACTTGAAGCAGTGGACCCCCATGGAACCTGGTACATCATGAAGTCGCATTCAAAACCACCATACTACTGAAAGTTGACGGGCTACTCGGAGGAGGGGGTACGGTTGTTTCAGCAATGGAGCAAGGCTCCATACTCCAATCTAATCTATCGTGTACTGTTGAAGATGATGACTCATCAGAAGAAGAATCTCTAACGAAAGAGTTCACTAGCCCGCCGGTGGGCGTCCCACCGTGACTGTAGTAGATAAAAATCAAAGTTACTTGGGCCATGGAAGACAAGCATTTAGTTGTCTCAAAATCAGATCTTCCTCTGACAATGCACAAGTTAGATTCTACGAGTTGGGGTTGGCGGGGCTTAAGAGAAGGTAGTACGATGTTCCCTCTATCTCAAATGAAGGAGACAACAAATGTTCTGCTCCCGACTCGACATCCAATCACAATGGCAATAGAACGATGAAATATTCAAATTGAAGGATCTCCGGAAACAGTGTTAAGGGGTATGGGGTGACTATGGTGTCAGTTACAGAAGCCACCATCTGAAAGGCACTCAGGGAGCCGATGGCTGCTCTCTCTTCGTAACACCATCAACAATATGGTTGGTGGGCAAAGGCATTGACATTCACATCCGTTGCAGAAGATGTACTCGGCCCTACAAGTCGACAACTCATCTGTGGTGGGATTGTCTGGCATCAAGGCGCATTGGGGAATGGTGGGTTGTTCATTGGAAATATTTTGCAGCTTGGGATTGAAACTGGGATAAAAACTGGGCTTTACAAGGTCTAATCACACTCCCAGTTCACACCATGGAAGGTTGTGGTTATGTGGTACATGCCTGTAGGGCTACTATTTGCTCGGTCATTTGGGACAACAGAAACTGGGTTGTCTTTCATGATAAAGGGACCTTAGACATTGAAACGGAGTCACTGATACGAGTAAGGCTTAGGCAGTATATCAAGGCGGACTGGGAGGGTAAAATCAGTGTTGCTTGGACAAAAGGAAAAAGTCTCAGATGGTTTCTCAGGGCATGGACCCAGTGTAGCTTTTCTTGTGATTGGTTAGTAAAATTCGACTTAGAAGGAAAGCTGGAGTTTTGCTCCAAATTGAAGTAGAAGGTTCAACCAAGGTTTCTTTTTCATCATAAGACTCGGTTTATGCTCAGTTGTAGGAGGCGGGCAACAGGGTCAGTATTTCTGGATGGAATCTATTCTAGTTATAATGGAAGAGGTTGGAGTGTTAGGGGTAGTGACCCAACAAGGCGAATGGGTAGCCCTGCATTTGTGTTTTACCTTTAACTAGGGTTCGATAACTCTTGAGGATCAAAGCATATCTGTAAATCAATAAGCCAGTCCATTATCTGTTAAAATAAAGTTGGACAAGTTTCGGTGTTGAGTTACTTTTCGGGTTGTTTGTTGAGGATTCTCAACCTCAAGGTTTTACTAATTTTTGAATAAAGGATCCTCCACTTCTTCAAAAAAATAAAAATAAAAATATTATGTCAAATATGAAAGGATGGTCTTTCAAGCCTTAATTGTCACTATTATTATTGAAGTATGGATGTCGCGACACCACTGTCACAGCGAAAAAAGTACCAAACTTCCGGAGATAGTGTCAAGATGCATCGGTTGCTATATAGAGTAATGCATGCATCCTGCCACTTTGTGTGGAAGATGCCTTCATATGTTTTTTGTTTTTTTTCATCCTCGAGCAGGAGCATGTTAATCTCTCTTTATCATTCCAATCTTTATATTTATTTATTTATTGTTGGGGAAATGGTTGAAATGCCCCTAAAAGTTGGGGTATTGAGTCAGATACCTCTAAAACACAGGGATTTGCCCCTATCCCCGCCATGGGCGCCTTTGCCATATCTCCTTCGTCGTGGTCGTGGATTGCATCTGCCCATCTACCAGATAGGTAACTTTTTGCCTGCCCACATCCAACTTGGCACCGTCCGAATTCAAATTTTGAAAGGGTATTGTTGATGGCGCTGTTCAAATTTCGAAAGGGTGTTGTTGATGTGCCCATCTACTAGGAGGTTACCATGAAGAGAATGGCGACCGCCTAAGGACCATGGATTGACACAATCGATGGTCTCTATACACCTGCCGGTCGCTTCGTGGTCGCCTCCTATAACTGAAAGACGTATGTGGGACCGAGTCGGGTTGTCGTCAACCTTTCCCTCGCACCCTATTTATCTTGCCATGACCCACGTAGGTCCAAACCCCCTCACGCGTTGTCGAGCGCATCAGTCTCATAAGGGGACCGTCCTGGCCACGTCACGCAGGATTTTGTGCAGGACTTTCTTATTTTTTATTGCGATGCAATGAAGCTTTTGTCGCCGCTCCGGTCAAGTGCGCCAGCCATCCCTCTTGCGAACCCCTACGACAGGATAGGGCCACGCGAGGTACAACTTACCTCCACCTGCGAGAGTTCTCATCATCCCTTAGTGGGCCTATCCTCGTCGAGCTATCGAACCACGTACGAAAAATTACAATGAGCAATTGAAGAGGTGGTCCAAACGAGGGCGTTTCTCGTACATTGTAGCATAGGGGGTACGCGTGGTCTCACTCCTTTATCAGACCCGCACGTGAACCGACGCACTGGGGGGTTGAAGTCCCAAGCGGGATTTGTCGCAGGTCGACTAGGACACATCCTTCTTACCACACGTTGCACCACGCCAAAGCAAAAAGTCGGATTACTCACACAAAATAAAACCCTCCTAGTCCCTTTAGTATCCAACCCATAACCTTTTGACAAGGAAATCGGTAGGGCGTCGTGAGCGGGCCCTACCCATAATTGCATGACCCTCAATAATCTCGAGGGTCTCATTCGACACTCAAGTATCGACTGACACGCGCCTTGAGGGATTAATCTCTCGAGTTTCAACGATCGCCAAGGCGGGTTGAGAGACCTTCCCTCTTCTGTACCCTGTGGAAAGTGGGTGGTAGATAGGTTCAACCCTTTTTGTGGCAACCAATACTTATGGCCTTGGAGACGAGCTCCATCATTTAGGGCCTAGAGAGAAGTCAAGGGGTTTGGCTTTGATGGTTGTCATGAACATCAACGCCCAACTATAAAAACTTCAAAAAACAAGGGTAGAAGGAGATCTCAATTTTCTCTCAACGGCAAAAGTCGCTCAACTCTTGCACGGGATCACAATAGGTCGTGGGGACACTTGGGATATACATATATAGAGGGTTACAAATACGAGATGATCACATCTCACAATCACAATGTGACTTTTTACATTTTCTACTAAACCATATGTAAACTTAGACAATAGTTAAACTTTGAAAAGTCAAAATTTGACTATCTCCTTGGTTTTGTAGAAATTTCGGCGGCTCTTCTCATAGAGAAAGAAACTTTCCAAAATTTATACAAAGCCAAGTAAAATAAATGATCTCAGAAAATGCAGGAATTGAACTAATTCCTACAAGCCCAACACTTGACGAGTATCTAAAACAACTACCTATCAAAACAAGACTCGGAATAAAACAAAGTGCTTAGTCTCAGGCGAGCCATACCACAATGGTAAGTACTCTCACCCGGTCTCAAAGTTAAACCTTGTCAACAATAGTTTATAGTCTCTCAATCATTTATCCATTTTTACCCAGCTTGCATAAGGTGTAAAACTAGACCATTCAACTTAGAAACAAAGTTTACCTTTGCCATTGAATATACATGAATACAGGACACTACTACTTTTCTTTTCTTTAGGCTTCTGACTAGGCCATTCAACTTAGAAACGAAGCCTCATGACCCTAAATTGTTTAAGTAACTAAGTCATATATACCTTTCTGCTCTTAGTTTTTAAAGTCATCATATGACCGAACCATTCAACTTCGAAAGAAGGTTCAACCTGCCCCGTCTTACCACCAATTAATATTCTTAATTAATATTTTTTTTATTATGATAAGCTATAGTCAGACCATTCAACTTAAAAACAAAGTCTGACTAACCTGTTCGTAAAGTATAACAATGATAGAGTATAGATAAAACTATTCCTTCATTCTGTTATGTGCATGACTCCAGACCAAACCATTCAACTTAGAAACAAAGCTTGATCCTTCACCAGATCTCCTTCATAATAAACAAATGGTAGTTTGAACCATTCAACTTAGAAATAAAGTTAAAACCTCATTTTTTAGAAACAGTAAGGAAACAAAAGGAGACTGGGTCATTCAACTTAAAATTAAAGTCCAACCCTGATTGGAAAATCCCAAAGTAAACCAAGGCGAGCAAACCATTCAACTTAGAAACAAAGCTTGGTCCCTGAAAACGCAATCGTAGACAGTCCTCGCAAGTAAGAGTAACCAGACCATCCAACTTAGGAATAAAGTCTGGTCCTTCAGACAATCTACATAAATATAACATTGCGCCATTCAACTTACACACTAAGCCTAACCTTTGGTTGACCTAGACAATCGCAATCAAAAACACCTTTCTCCCGTCTTTCCCCAGTTCAAAACCCTTCCTCAATCTCAATTTAGACAAACGAATATTTTTTTTTTGAAATTGTGTATGCTTCCTTTACTTAACTCTGATTTAAGTCCAAAAAGTCAAATATAAGATTAATACGGATGCAGGCCGTTCGAGTTCCTCAAACACGTTAATTGTTATAAAGGGTGTCGAACCATATCGTGACGATTGACAACATGCTCCAGTTGTCAACTCCCTTCGTGTCGTTCAACTGTAATCTTCAAGACTTTGCAAACATAGTGCCATGTCACAAACTGCAAATGATGGACCAAGTTGTTTTGCGGACTACCATCTCTGTTTGCTCCCCAAAGGCGGTAGGCAAGAGTTGTGGGGAGCCGAAAACATCCGGCCGAATGAGCAAAAGCAGGGCCACATCGATACACGCAAGGAGAGTGAGAAAGTCCACTACTCCACTACAGTCGAAGGGTGTGTCAGACTCCGCAAAACAGGCACAGTCACATGTTGAATGTGCTGCTCACATTTCTTTGTCTCCCACTGTTGGGACCACTGACCATGAGGATGATGACGAAAAGACAAAGGATGACTCGCCCTTTCTGCAGCCGGACGGTGAGTGGTGGGCCGAGGGCGACAACGCGAAAGACACAGAAGACGACGATGACGAACAACGGTTTCTCGACGGTGCAGAAGGTGAAGAGGAAAGCTTAGAGGATGGTTGGGCCCAAGGCGATGGTGGTGAAGACAAAGAGGATGGTAGTCACAAAGGCGATGAGAGTGAAGAAGAAGAGGACGAGGATGCAAGTGACGAGGACAGCTACGAAGGCGGAAGCGAAGGAGATGAGGGTGGGGCGAACGACAACGACGGTGGGAATAGTGGTTCACAGAAACGGCAGGAAGAGTATTCCCAGTCCCCAAGCCATCACGGCCCATCCGAAGAAGACGGTGTGTTGCATGGCATACAAAAGGTCTGTATGCATGCGCGAAAGGAAAATGAAAGCTGGGAGAACTAAGGAAGAGAAGTGGAGAAAAGCTAAGCTCATCAGTGTGCATGCCTCAAAGGAGGTCTACAGGAAATCCGTAAAGGCCCAATCCGCTAAACCAGCAAAGGGAAAGCGTGAACGCCCTTGATCTTCCCAGAGACCGAAGAAGAAAGAAAAGGCTGAGGAGACAACGAAAGTGGCGGACTCTGGGGACGAAGCAGCGGGGGTTGACCCACAACATACAACATCGAAGCGAAAAGAGTTAACCAACGACACTATCAACACCACGAAATGTTTTTTCGTTGAATACAACGCAGACAACAATGCGATAGATCGGCCTACCCAAAATTTTGTCGATGCCGTCAACATACTGCCCAACCCATTGGAAGGCGTGCAATAGAACCATAGGTTGTTGAACGAGATGTTGGTCACCTCCATTAGGGACGCAATGGAACACCCAGAAAAGAAGAAGGAGTGAGACCGAAATACATCGATTCCTGCTCCGGTCGTACAAGTGGAGAATAAAGGCCAAAACATGTGGGAACGTGTGAAGCCGGAGGAGTGGGATCATGATAAGGTTGCCTCCTACCATTGGTACACCGTGGTCAACCAACATAAAGTCGAGGCAGCAAAAGGTTGGTCGTTGTTGGATCGTCTGCTGCCCAGAAGTGGGGCCTGCATTCTTGGAAGGCACGTATTGTGTATTTTGATGACGGTCATTTGGAGGGGTATGCGTACATCTCCACGTTTGACAATACTAGGAAGACACGTGTTATCCAATCGTCATTTCGAATGGGTGTGATTGCTATAAGAGGACTTTGGAAGAATATGAAAGAGTCAAAAGGTGATTGGCATCAGGCGAAGACGGTGGATGAAAGAACTGCACAGCATGACCAATATCATGAGTTCGTACGCAAAGCTATACTGATGATTCCTGACACCACGCTCCGGAACCAGTTGTCGGCGCAAAGATTTGTGAGGAATTGGTCAAACCTGTTAAGGCCCTACATGTGTCTCATAGCGAGCGGTAAGGTGGTGTGGAATCTGGTCGAGAAGTTCTTTGACAAATGGGAGAGAGGGCAAGACGGCATCAGAGCAGTGGATTAGGAAGAGAAAGCAGGCGAGGCGGTGGGACCGGGCCCTGCTGCGAAGACCGTGAAAACCAAAAAAGTGTTGGTACATTTTATTCAACCCAACAAAAATTCGTCGGGTTTCTATGTTTGCATCAATGATCGCCCAACAAGCGCATAGAAGTGCTCAAGGATTTCACGTCAGGGAAGAAGGAGATGACCCTCGAGAAAATACTTGCGGGACACGCTGTCGTCACAAATGGAAGGGCATTCGTGAAAAACATGATGAACATGCAGACCTGTACATGGAAGTGAGAAGGAAAAAATATATGGTGCACATGTTTAACTATGTCTTGTTCAAGATAGAGAAAAGGTCGGAAGAGGAGTGAAATGATAAGTTCTTCATTGGATACAATACCATAATGAGGTGGTTTGTACCACGAGGGTTGACGAGGGAGAAATGAAAAGAAACAAAGTTGAACATTCAAGCAGATAAGACAATCAATGTCCCAAAACGATTGGGCGGTGTGGATGAGGCGAAATTAGGAAAAAAGAATGTCGAGGGCCATAAGGTGACGACTGTAATATATATGGAGTGTCCGTACTTCCTCAAACTTTTTATGCATGAAATTTTTGGCACAGTTGATCATTTGAGGGATTACCTACGGCGGATCAGCTTAAATGTTCAACACATAATGTGGGACAACTGCAAAGATCACACAACGTATCGTCCTGTATGCATCACACCAATGAACGCACTGCACCCAACGAAAGATTTGACTCGTGCTGTGAGGAAGTTAAGTTGTCACCTTGCAGTATTGGACTTAGCACCGTTGAAGAATCTCGACGCATGGAATGAGCAAAACTTTCATGAGCTCCGCCAAATGATGATGGTGTTGTGCGGGACGCATTGGGCGCTAATCATATTCAGCGTATTGAAAGACGATAAAACGGTCATGAGGAACGTGTTCAGGTGGGAGGGTGTGAGAGTTTTTCAAGGGCGCTGACGCCGTTATAGAGAAGTGGCATCACCCTGCGGCAAAGTTGGAAACCTTCCGTTAAGAGGGCGCGACTCCATGACCAAAGTATTGCACGATACAAACAATGATTTGAAAAAGGTCACGGTCGCAAAGCCTCGTGGGAACACTCTCTTCGACACACATTACGGGGATGAGTTATTTGTACGATGTACAAAAGAGGCAATCGGCATGCAAGGCGATAACAAACCCATGTACAGGACATGGGAGAGAGAACCAATAAATATGAAAAACTTGTGCAACTGGTTTTCGAAGGAAGGGGGAGATGTCTTGTTATTGGGCAACGTGCTAGCGGGAACAATGTGGGACTTGCTTCGCTCATGACACCATGTAGTCACATGCGATGGTTCGTCAAACATGATGGAATACTCCTCTTTGTTTATCGATCGTCAAGTCCACAATCCAGATAGTAGAAATCACTTCGAACGACTGAAACGTTGACATTGTGCGGACCAAGACTTGTTCCTGAAGCTCAACAAGAAGAGAGACTCTCTATGGAGGTATTTAATCTGCAATGCACCCGCGACACCAAAAGATGTGGATTATCTGCACCGTAAGGTGATAGCGATCCAGCATCTGCAAGGATATCACAATGCTTAACGAGGTGCAATTGAGATATTTTTGGGGCGATATGAACAACTATGGTTTGAAAAGAAGCTAGACAAAATCGATGCCAAGATGTACTGCTCGGTACTGGATGTTGGGGAACGGTTCGACATTATGGATAGTGAGGAGAAGACAAAGGTTGACGAGATTGACCTCCCATTGTCGGATGCACATCACAATTTAGTGAGACAGGAAATGCCTTCGTTGTCCGTTCTGGGTGGTCAACAAATGATGGAGGAAGATGTCGGCGGCACTATTGTAAGTACGAGGAACGAGAATGTGATGTGAGAAAAAACTTCAAATACGGGTGGTGCAATGGAAGGCAACACATTCAAGTGCGACGTGAAGGAAACCACCCCAAGATTCGTTTCACTGGTGAGGAGATTTCGCAATGACATAGAAGGAGCAACAGACGATGAGGCTCAGAATATTCCGCATGCAGACAAGGAATGAGTGGACGACCCAGATAGGATAGACATAGAGGGTAATCACCTCTTTGACATCTCGGGTGACTCCCCCAAAAAGCTTGCACCGGGTGATAATACATCATATGACATGAAGGAGATGAAAGAAGGACCTCACTTTCTAGACACAGAGTGCAAAGAGTCATATGATCACGAGTGGGGGCATCATAACATATGGCATCTATGTCTCTTCGAACCATGTGTGATTCAAGTTGATGGTAAATGATACATGGCTATCCGAATGGGTGGGAAATGAGTGTTCAGGGAAAGAATCCTCAGCAGAAGGTTTTATGAGACAGCGAAGGACAAGTTGTTTACCCGTGTGAGGCGGACGAACAAAGATGCGTCGGACCACAAAATATCAGACAAAGTAAACTCGTTGTTCGAATTCCTGTGTGAACATCACCTTCTCGAGTATTGCGCTGCGTTCTACAACAAAAAATTAAGTCCATCGTACGAAGGTGTCATATGGTCTGTGGACGATCGTGCAATGGATTGTACGTACGACAGCAGTATACTTGTAGGATGCAATCAAGGCATTGAGGGACAAACGGGGAGAAGGAAGAAGATCGATTCAGAAGCAGCAAGAGTTGGTGGCGCTAGCGTGACAGACAAGGAAGGGTATCTTAGGATGTATAACACAAATTGTGATGAGTTTGTTGACCGACCATTGAGTGCATTGCAACCAACACTTAAACCATCAGAAGACATAAGTGCAGTAGGAGGAATAAGTGTGGCAATACCAGCAACATGCGGGGAATTTTTTGCACATGTGGACGCAACGGCGGGAAAGACGAAAAGATCGACGGAGAACAACGACAAAAAATATTAGATAGAGAAGGGTAAAAATTCCAGAGACATGAGGGAGTGAGAGCGGTAACAGGGAACGTCGAATTGTATTCTACGCAGTCGCATGCAACACAACATACGATTGTACCATTACACGGGGATAAGGTAACGGCGAAGACACAAGAGAACAAAGGGCAGATGAGAAAGAAGGGGGGAATGGACCCGTGCATATGGAATGCACTGGTCCAGGAACGCAAATAGTTTATGAGTCAACAATGAGAGAAAAAAGGGTTGTTGCGGAGGATATCAGCGCAGTAGAGCATGAAAAGGTTCCAAGCATGACAAATATGGAGAGTGGGGAAGACAATGCGAATGAAGAGGAGGCGGACAAAAGTCGTAGTGTGATTAACATGGTGGACCACTCATGTGAGAACGAAGAAACATCTGACAAGGAAAAAGTGAAAGAGTTGGGAGAGGATTTAAAAAAAAAAAAGCGTGATTTGAGCGAAGCGACTGAGGGAATATGGAAGGGGAAAAAGAAAAGCGGGAAAGAAAAACGAGGAATGCACAATACGACGTTAAAAAACAGTCAGGGAGAATAACGCAAAGTTCAACGTTTAGTATGTGTGTGTACGTGTGTGTCTATCTGCATGCACACTCGACGGTAAACATGTGTGGACGTGTGTGTGTATGTGTGATTGTGTATGTGTGTGTGTGTGTGTGTGTGTGTGTGTGTGAGTGTGAGTGTGTATGTGTGTGTGTATGCATATGTGTGTGTGTGTGTGTGTGTGTGTGTGTGTGTGTGTGTGTGTGTGCATTACATCACCGGTGAGGATGAAATTTTAAACTACGAAACGATGAGCAAGAGGCGAGTTGTATATGCCGATTGTGTCGGTCGAACAAGTACGAACATTTTACATTTCTTGTGCGGCTCGGGTTTTTTACAGGGAATGAAAGCGTGGATTGCACAATTTATATATAGATTATGTCGAATGATAAAACAACAGCAGTTTGTGTATCAGATTATGCGATTTCTGTATGAATAGTGCAGTACTTATTTAATAATTTCACATTGTTGCTACCTTCGGTGTGTGCAATGATAAAGTTACATAGAAAGTGCCAGATATCTGGATGCATTTTTTTTTTTCTCTCTCTCTCTCTCTCTCTCTCTCTCTCTCTCTCTCTCTCTCTCTCTCTCTCTCCCTCC